ATCCACCATATTTTATGAAGTATTGTAGGAGTTACCTTTGATGTAGAGGAAGCTGTGGAAGTACGGGAGAGTGACGCAGCTGTAGACGGAGTCCCGGCGATACGACAGCTCGTCATCGGTGTCAAATCTGTCAAAGTCGTCCTCGCTGTCCTCAAACTGGAAAAACAACAACAAAAATGAGATTTATTACCACGTGGATTTCTCTTTTCATCTCTTCAAAGGGTTAATGTGTTGCTTAATCCAGATCATAACGATAAAGTTAGATGTAACACAGCAGATCAGGGTTTTCATGTGTCCTGTTTGATTATTTATGTCTTTCAAGCCTAAGGGTGGTTTCACAGTCAAATCAAAACCTTTTTTAGTGTGTGCAGCAACCTGCATTCAATGTCAATGCAAAGATGCAAATTGGACACTGTGTTGTAAAAGCCTTGAAGAGTTGAGTTGCTCCTGATGTTTCAGGATAAATGTCCTATCCGAACTTTTAAAAAAATCAATATTTTAAACATTTTCAGAAAATTGGAAATCTTTCTCATCTTGTGGAGAGACACGACATATCGGTTTTTTTTGCAACGAAATCTCATGTTTTGAGATTGATACTTTTGCAGGAGGAAAGACTGTGTGGAGGTTCTAGATACAGTAATCAGAATCAGAAATGCTTGGCAGAAATTTGGTGAAACTGCCAATTTAGCCCCGGCGGAGTCTGACCTACTTAACAGGTCTGTTAACTGGGCGGTGTGAACTGCATCTTTGGATAAAGTTATGTATGCAGGGTGTACAGTATGTTGTTACTTTTCAGCCCCCCTGACCCCAAAATAAGTGGGTAATTAGTCAGAGATTTGGGGTAATATGTAAGAGATTGGGGACCCCCCACTGTCCCTGAAAGAGGTTAAAGCATTTCACCTTCTGCACAGCCGCACACACTAATAGGCCTATCCAAACACATTAGAACGACACAAAATAACACAACAGCATTCAATTAACTCTATAACTTCAGTGTATCTTTGTGCATTTTTATTTAAGCCCTGTTTCCACTAATCGGTCCTCCTTATTGGTGTTTTCCACTGTCAAGAGTTGGGAATGGTACCAAAATAACCGATCTTACCGGTCCTACTTTTTTTTTTAGAAAAAGATGAGCTTTGCTTTCTGTCTGAGCCTCTTTAGATGGTTCCTTCAAACTTGAAACTTCTCCTACTTTCACTCTGTAGAAGGAGCCGAGTGACTCCGCCTACTAACATTTCCGATCCAATACATTTCTGCAAATTTTCCCTTAAATCCAACAACCAACATTCACAAACTGCTGACTTGTGAAAACAGATTATGATGTAACGTTCAGGGACCCTGGGACTCACTGATGACTGCGCCCCCTCCGAGCTGAAGCGGTAGGCCCCCGAGCTGTTGTAGGTTCCCACAGAGCCTCTGTAGTCAGGCGACCACTGGCCGCTGCGGGAGTTGGAGAACGCCACGCTGCCACTGGAGACGATGGCGCCCTCGTCGTAGTCGTCCTGGTCGTAGTCTGAGTCTTCATCGGGCGGTATCAGCTCCACCAGGTCGTCAGACTGAGCCTCGGATGAAGCCTGAGGGTGGCAGAAGGCCGAGTCCGCGCTGGAGGAGGCGCTATGGCAGGCGGCGGGCGCCGGTGGTAAAGGCAGCGGCTGGTGCAGCACGTTGGTGGTCGGGGGGAGGGGAGGGGTCACGCCATCGTTGGCGTACGGGTCTTCTTCAGACGAGTCGTCGCTCGTTCGGATCCCGCTTGTCCTCTGCCCGTCTGAGTGCCCGTGTTCACTGGGGTTCGGCGAGTCTTTGAAGGCCTCATCGTCAGCGCCAAAGCCTTCGTCCACCTCCTCCTCGTCATTCCCTCGCCGCCTCCCGACATCTTTCTCTGCCTCCTCCTCCTCCTCCTCGTCCTCGCCCACTCCCAACGAGCTCTCGATGTTCCTCACGCACTCGTCGATCTCGTCAAAGTTCAGCGACTCCAGGAACTGCTGCGCCGCCTTGCAGGCCTCATCCTCCAGGCGCCGAAGCTCCTGGTCGCGGAGGAGCTGCAGCCGGTTGAGGGAGGCTTCGGTCAGAGAGAGCTCCTGACGCTCCTTCTGCCTCTGCAGCACCTGGATCTCCCGCTCCAGTCTCAGGATCTCCTCCACCTGAGACGCGTCCTGAGGTCGGACTGCCTCCTCCTCTTCTTCATCAGACGCCTCCTGGAGAGGCTCGGGTAACTCCGCCTCCTCCATCGAGACCGGCGATGTTACAGCTTCTACTGGAGCCGGAGGCGGAGGCAGAGCGAGAGATGCCAACTCTTCAGAGCGGTGAAGCTCCTCCAGACGTCTGGCCTCCTCAGCCTGAGGAGACGAGAAAAAATATGTGAAAACTATCTGATTAAAAAACTAATATTCCCATTAGCAAACCAAACCACCTCCACCCCTCAACCCTTACCTACTTTCCTTCATCCCTAGACCCTTACCTACTTTTCTTCAACCCTCGACTCTTACCTCCTTTTTTTTCT